AAGGCTTAAAAGAAGGTACACTAGAGCAGAGCACTGAAGCATGAGAATATTCACTATGGAGGCAGCTGTTACTTGGAACTGGATGCAGGCCAGTTTGTCACAATCAATAGAAACCCAGCAGGTCTCTCTGTGCTCATGACAGGGTCCTATTATTTCTATCTTGGCCTCAGTCCTTTTGGTCAGGCACAGGGCAGCAGGCACTCAACAAATGTTTGCAGAATTGAATTGGCATCTTACTGTGAATGAGGTACGGAACGAAACAGCTGAACCTAGGAGCTAACTGTTACAAAGAACAGCTTAGCAGTCAACTCTTCCAAAACAAATTCTTATATTAGGCAGTTTCTCATTCATCCCATAAACAGTTCCTGAGTGCCCATTGTAAACCAAGTTCTACGTGAGATGATGAATAAGACATCATACTGCTCATAACCTGCACTCTGTTTAAATGATGGAAACTAATAGCCTTTTCTAAACAAAAACTGTGTGTGCCAGTACTTGGGCTTGAACTAAAGGCCTCTTTCCTTCACCTCTACCATTTGAGCCACACCTTTACATCTACATCTGACTTTTTGCTGGTTAACTGGAGATGAGTCTCTTTTTTTTTTTTGTGTGTGTGTGTTTTTGTTTTTTTTTTTTGTTACAGTCGTGGGGCCTGAACGCTGGGCCTAGGCGCTGTCCCTCAGCTCTTAAGCCCAAGGCTAGCACTCTACCACTTGAGCCCCAGCGCCACTTCCGGCTTTTTTTCTTATGTGGTGCTGAGGAATCGAACCCAGGGCCTTGAGCATGCAAGGCAAGTGCTCTACCACTGAGCCACCTTCCCAGCCCCTGGAGATGAGTCTCTTACTGGCTTCAAATCATGATTTTCAGATCTCAGCTTCCTGAGTAGCTAGGCATGAGTCACCCAGCCTTAGGGCTCCAGTTTCAGTGACAACTTGTTCAGAAAATGCATCAGAAGCCTGTGTTACATGAAATTAGTTCTCAGGATTCTAGTAACAATGGTGATTAACAAAAGTTTAACCCAAGCCAGGCACTGTTGGCTCATGCCTGTAATCCTAGCTACTCAGGAGGCTAAGATCTAAGAATCTCCATTCAAAGCCAGCCCAGGCAAGAAAGTCTGTAAGACTCTCATCTCAACCACCAGAAAACCAGAAGTGACGCTGTGGTTCAAAGTGGTAGAGCTCTAGCTTTAAGCAAAAGAGCTCAGGGAAAGTGCTCAGGCCCTGAGTTCAATCCCCAAAACTGACCAAAAGAAAAGAAAAAAGTCTGGCCCTACATTATTTTAGGCTAAAATCTATGTGCAGTAGTATAGAACACCGGAGCTTGGCTTTCTTTCTTTCTTTCTTTCTTTCTTTCTTTCTTTCTTTCTTTCTTTCTTTCTTTCTTTCTTTTTCTTTCTCTTTTCTTTCCTCTCTCTCTCTCTCTCTCTGTCTTTCTCTCTTTGTCTTTCTCTCTCTGACAGAAGTCTTGCTATGGGGCTGGGAATGTGGCTTAGTGGTAGAGTACTTGCTTAGCAATGCATAAAGCCCTGGGTTTCAATTCCTCAGTACGACATATATAGAAAACACCAGAATTGGCACTATGGCTCAAGTGGTAGAGTGCTAGCATTGAGCAAAATAAGCTCAGGGACAGTGCCCAGGCCCTGAGTTCAAGCCTCAGGACTGCCAAAAATGTCTTGTTATGTAGCCCAGGCTAGCTTTGAACTTACAACCTTCCTGCCATATCCTTGTAAGTTCTACTAGAGGTGTATACCACCACACCTGGCTCCTGGATTTACTTTGAGGAAAGTATTCGATCTCTCTTTAAAGGCATCAAATCTGTTATAGGTACTAAAGTAAGATGGGCTTCTGTCTAAGGTTCCTCTAGTTCTACAAAACAATGTGAGGACTGAGGGTATACCTCAATGGTAGTGTGCTTGCCTGATCATCAATCACACACACACACACACACACACACACACACACACACACACTCACACACACATACACACACACACAGACTGTGGGCTTTTTTGAGCCAGTATTAGGACTTAAACTCGGGTCCTTTTACTCTCACTTGCTTTACCTTACTTCACTCAAACATAGTGCTTTGTCACTTGAGCCATACCTCTATTTCTACCTGTAGATTTTTTTTTTTTTTTTTTTGGGTCCGGTTGTGGGGCCTGAACTCTGGGCCTGGGCACTGTCCCTCAGCTCTTCAGCTCAAGGCTAGTGCTCTACCACTTGAGCCACAGCGCCACTTCCGGCTTTTCTTTTTTCTTTGCTAATGTGGTGCTGAGGAATCGAACCCAGGGCCTCATGCATGCAAGGCAAGTGCTCTACCACTGAGCCACCTTCCCAGCCCCCTGTAGATTTTTTTTTTTGGTCAGTCATGGGGCTTGAACTCTGAGCCTGGGCACTGTCCTTGAGCTCTTTAACCCAAGGCAAGCACTCTACCACTTGAGCCACAGTGCCACTTCTGTTTTTCTGGTGGTTAATTGGAGATAACAGTCTCACAGACTTTCCTGCCCCAGCTGGCTTTGAACCATGATCCTCAGATCTCAGACTCCTAAGTAGCTAGGATTACAAGCATGAGCACAGACAACCAGCTGTAGATTTTTTTTTTTTTTTTGCCAGTCATGGGGCCTGAACTCTGGGGCCTGGGCACTGTCCTTCAGCTCTTCAGCTCAAGACTAGCACTCTATCACTTGAGCCAGCTGTAGATTTTTTTTTTTTTTTTTTTTTTTTTGTCGGTCGTGGGGCTTGAACTCTGGGCCTGGGCGCTGTCCCTCAGCTCTTCAGCTCAATGCGAGCGCTCTACCACTTGAGCTACAGCGCCACTTCCGGTTTTCTGGTGTTTTATTGCAGATAGGAGTCTCACGGTCTCTCCTGCCCGGGCTGGCTTTGAACCATGATCCTCAGATCTCAGCCTCCTGAGTAGCTAGGATTACAGGCGTGAGCCACCAGCACCCGGCTTCTATCCAGTGTTTAGAGTAGTAACAACCTCTAACATTGTCCAATCCGACTACCTCTGCATACAGACTAATTTGTTCAATGATGAGGACTTCATATCCCAAGGTTTCCCTTTGTGTTTTAGCTGTCACACAACTCAGAGCTAAATACAGACACTAATTCTTGAAAATCCTAATACATCTCCTCTTTTTTTTTTTTTTTTGGGGGGGGGGGTCCGGTTGTGGGGCCTGAACTCTGGGCCTGGGCGCTGTCCCTCAGCTCTTCAGCTCAAGGTTAGCACTCTACCACTTGAGCCACAGTGCCACTTCTAGCTTTTTTCTTTTTGCTTATGTGGTGCTGAGGAATCGAACCCAGGGCCTCAGGCATGCAAGGCAAGCGCTCTACCACTGAGCCACCTTCCCAGCCCTACATCTCCTCTTTTAATCTGATCTCTTTCATTTTTAATTTTCAGCATCTGCATTGTTCAGTATGGCAGCCATATGAGTGACTGAGCACTTGATCGCTAATCCAAATTGGAATGAGCTATGAGCTGGGCTATATGGGACTTGCATTATTGATTATATGTTGAATATCTTGGACATATTAGGTTAAGTACCAATGTCATTTTACTTTTCTTACTATGGCTACAGAAAAATGAATGACCTATATCAAAAAAAATTATGAGGAACTAGGTGCCGGTGGGTCATGACTGTAATCCTAGCAACTCAGGAGGCTGAGATCTGAGGATCACAGTTCAAAGCCAACCCATGCAGGAAAGTCCGTGAGACTCTTATCTCCAATAAACCACTCAGAAAACCAGAAGTTGTGCTGTGGCTCAAATAGTAGAGCTCTAGCCTTGAGCTGAAGAGCTGAGGGACAGCTCCCAGGCCCAGAGTTCAAGCCCCATGACCAAAAAAAAAAAAAAAGTGGTAGAGCACTAGCCTTGAACTGAAGAACTGAGGGACAGTGTTCAGGCCCAGAGTTCAAGCCCTACAACTGACCAAAAAATTATGAGTTAAAAATATGTGAGGCTTTCTTTGTGAGTTACATTATATTTGTTGGACAGCACTATTCTGAAAATCATCAGTATTATTGGGGCTTAGGATGTGGCTCAAGTGACAAAATGCAAAATCATCAGTATTATTGGGACTTAGGATGTGGCTCAAGTGACAAAATGCCTGCATAGCAGGCCATGAAGCCCTGAGTTCAAACCCACTACACATTATCCTTGTGAACCTCCTCTTTGAAAACAGTGAAGGAGGGGCTGGGAAGGTGGCTCAGTGGTAGAGCACTTGCCTTGCAGGCATGAGGCCCTGGGTTCGATTCCTCAGCACCACATAAGCAAAAAGAAAAAAGCCGCAAGTGGTGCTGTGGCTCAAGTGGTAGAGTGCTAGCCTTGAGCTGAAGAGCTGAGGGATAGCGCCCAGGCCCAGAGTTCAGGCCCATGACCAACCAAAAAAACAAAAGAAGAAGCAGCAGCTCAGAGACAATGCCCATGCCCTGAGTTTAAGCCACAGGACTGGCCAAACAAAACAAAAACAGGTGAAATAATAATGCAGAGGTGCCTGCAGTGGTGGTATGAGAATGAGTATGACCACAACTAGCCTTCTGTCTGCTTGTCTTGTTTGAATCACACACACACACACAAACAGCCAGGTGCCGGTGGCTCACACCTGTAATCCTAGCTACTCAGGAGGCTGAGGTCTGAGAATCATGGTTCAAAGCCAGCCCAGGCAAAAAAGTCAGAGAGTCTCTTAAATTGAATTAACCACCAGAAAACCATTATAGCTCAAAGTGGTAGAGCGCTAACCTACTCCAAGCTCTGGGACAGTGTCCAGGCTCCAAGTTCAAGCCTTACTCTTCCCCCTCACCCTCCCCCCAAAAAGAAAAATATCCAAAAACATGTGGGAAACATTTTCAGCTCTCTTTATCCCAGGTGAGTAGTACTCCATGGCTCTCCCATTTCCAGGAAAAACCTGCTCTCAGCTTTGTTTTAGCTAACATATTGGAAAGGATCTGATAAGACAACACATTATGAATGACTGATAACAATTTTGTGTTCACCCCTCTTAGGGGGTATTTCCATTTTAACAGGGAACAATCCCTGAACCCAAAGGAATGAATCCCTAATGGTGGAGTTTCAGGCATCAGTGACAGGTGAGTGAGAGGCAGACTCTGGTTTTCTATATTTATAGTATGTGGCTACATTCAGATGACAGGCTTTTGGATGGAAAGGTAGTGGGGCTGGGAAACACACCGAGCAGCTGGGTCAGACTGTGAAGGGCTCAAAGACACCAACCAAATTCAGTGTAGGCCTTTAAGGGCTTGTTAAGCAATACAGCAACACAGCTGATGTAACCAGAGGGTAGGCATCAAGACAAGTCTCCACGGTAACTACTATGGAGTAGCAGAAAGGCTGTCAGAGTAGAATTCAGACTATGATTACAGTCCACACTGACTCGGCTTCACTCTGGGCAAGTCCTTTACCCCTCGGTCTCAGTTTCTTTATCTGGAAAGTAGAAATGGGTGCTATATCCAGGCATGGTGGTGCATACCTGTAATTCTGGCACTCGGGAGGCTGAGGCAGGAGCAAGAATTTGAGGCCAGCCTAGGGGTACATAGAGACCCTGTTTAAAACAAAACAAAAAAATAAGAAATGAGTACTCATCAAATTAGTTCTAGAATTGCGAAGGTGCTCTGAGAAATACAAAGTTCCCTACAAATGCAAAGATTAATGATTAATTGCTTAAAATGGAAATGCAGCTACACAAGCCTGGAGTTGGGTGGGCAGGAAGCTGGGATGGAGGGCTATAGGGAAGCATGAAGGTGGATGCCCCTTATAACTTGAACGTCTGTGCTTCTGTCTCCTAGGCTGAACCCCAGACTTCCAGGGCCTATGCTTGCTTGCACCTGATGAATGATGGCCTGAACTATGAGCAGACGAGACTCTATGAGCTCTTCAGTGCAGGAGCCTCCTCTTGACTACTCTTTCAGAAGCATCCATATCGTCCAAGGTCAGCCCACAGCGCACAACACTCCATTCACCGTGGCAGCAGGCCCAGTGGTTTCTAGGGAGAAACTGGTCTCCTATCATAAAGCCTAGCAAGATTCTTCCATGTACTTGATATCTTTCTCCCATATATTTGATATACTTAGGAATGGGGGATGCAAGGGTTTTTTTGTTTTTATTTTTGCCAGTCCTAGGACTTCAATTCAGGGGACTTGAGCACCTACCCTGAACTACTTTTGCTCAAGGCTAGCACTCTACCACTTGAGCCACAGTGCCACTTTCAGCTTTTTCTGTTTATGTGGTACTGGGGAACAAACCCAGGTAGCACTCTACTACTGAGCCACATTCCCAGCCCGGAACTTTTTTTTTTTTGTTAGTAATGAACTTGGCAAGTGATCTGCCTAAGCTATAGCCATGGCCACCAGTGTGTATGTGTTTGTGTGTGCACCTTGATACTGGGGCTTGACTCGGGGCCAGGAGTATGTGGTATATGTATGTGTATGTGTGCACATGCATGTACATGCACTGGTCCTGGGTCTTGAACTCTAGGGCTTCACTCTAGCTCAGCCTTTTCACTTATAGCTGCACGCTACCATTTTAGCCACACCTGCTTCCAACTTTTGCTGAATTAATTGGATATAAAGGTTTCTCCAATTTGTTTGCCCAAGCAGGTTTCAAACCTTGATCCTTAGATCTCAGCTTCCTAAGTAGCTAGGATTATAGGCATGAGATGATAGCACTTGGCTTTTTTTTTTTTAAGTGGCAAGTCTAAAAGGAGCCAAAGACCTCTCAATGTAAAAAAAAAAAAGATCACAAAGAGTATCTTTAAAGGAAGACAGACTACAGCAAGGAAAATCAGGTAGAAGAAAATTGGGTAGCCAGTTTATCAGCCAACTTTTATTCCTATTTTCACCTGAAAAGAAGAGGAAATAAATGAGAAAAAAAAAATAAAAACAGGTTACTACAGATAGGAAGGATCCATCCTCTGCTTGGGACACAATCTTGTTCTAATCAGTGTTATGTTTTTTGTTTGTTTGTTTGTTTGTTTTGCCAGTCATAGGGCCTGAACTCTGGGTCTGGGCGCTGTCCCTCAGCTCTTCAGCTCAAGGCTAGCGCTCTACAACTGGAGCAACAGCGCCACTTCCGGCTTTTTCTGTTTATGTGGTGCTGAGGAATTGAACCCAGGGCCTCATGCTTGCAAGGCAAGCGCTCTACCGCTGAGCTACCTTCCCAGCCCCATCAGTGTTAAAATTTGAGGGGGTCTTATTATCCACAACCTGATGGGTTTCCAATTTAATTTTTTTTTTATGTCAGTCCTGGGGCTTGAACTCAGGGCCTGTGCACTATCACCAAGCTTTTTTTGCCAAGGCTAGCATTCTACCACTTGAGCCACAGTGCCACTTCTAGCTTTTTTTGGTAGTTTATTGGAGATAAGTCTCACCAAGTTTCTTGCCCGGGCTGGATTTGAACCATGGTCCTTGTATTTCAGCCTCCTCCTGAATAGATAGGATTACAGGTGGGAGCCACCAGTGCCAACTTGGTTTAAATATTTGTTGGCAAAATTCTCTTATATTCATGCCAGCCATATCCAAGTTTCTTCCATTATCATCCACACTTTCTGTAAGTTCTAGTATTTCCCAACTCATTCAATGTTTTTGTAAGTGTGCAGCTAGCATAGCAACCTTCAAGAGGGTCGCGAGGAGGCTCTGGGAGTACCACGTTGTCAAGGAGTTGGCAGGTCTCCTCAGGTTCTGCCATTCCTGCCCTTGGTTGCTGTCCTTGTACAGCACATGTTCATACCCTCTATCCTCTAGACAGTTTATCTGGCTTTGGTCTCTCTTGTGCAGTTGGTAGCCACTTGTAAGTTCAGGGTTGGTACAAGCTCTGGCTTAGATCTAAGGGCACTGCTTAGTGAGCACCAGCCACAGTTCTAACTCCGAACTGTTCTCTCCCCAGCTATACATATACCCACACATGCATGCACACACATACATACATACCTGTGACCTTTATGTGCTCCGCCTCACTTCTGAATGATGTTATACCCATTTCACTGGGTTTAGCTGCAACAGCTTTGGGCAAGACAAGTTGAAATTACTGGGGTGTGGAGGGGTGGCACTTACCAACTCTGAGAGAGGAGCTATGGCTCTGCCCTCTGTTGCAATCTTCCAAATGAGGAGAGACACAAACTATTACGAGGGGTTTTGCTATTAGAATATGCAAATGCTTCATACTTCATTCAGTAGTTCAGAATTTACTAAGCATCTACTTATTAAGCACTTACGTGTGTGTACACGCGTACGTGTGCATGTGTGTGTGTGTAGCATCAGAAACATAGGAGCTGGGAATGTGGCTTAGTGGTAGAGTGCTTGCCCATCATGCATGAAGCCCTGGGTTCGATTCCTCAGTACTACATAAACAGAAAAAGCTGAAAGTGTTGTGGTAGAATGCTAGCCTTGAGCAAAAGAAGCTCAGGGACAGTGCCCAGACCCTGAGTTCAAGCTCTAGGACTGGCAAAAAAAAAAAAAATTATAGGTATGGTTAAAGGACAGGCTAGAGTTTGGAGGTGCTTGGGACACACTGCTGAAGGTGAATCATATAATCTGAAATGGCAGAGACTTTAGAAGGCATCTAATTAATTTATTGATTGACTGATTGATTGATTGTCGGTTGTGGGGCTTAAACTCTGGGCCTCGGCTGTCCCTCAGCTACTCAGCTCAAGGCTAGCGCTCTACCACTTTAGCCACAGCGCCACTTCTGGTTTGGAAATAAGACTCTCACGGACTTTCCTGCCCAGGCTGGCTTTGACCCCTGATTCTCAGATCTCAGCCTCCTGAGTAGCTAGGATTACAGATGTGAGCCACCAGCACCCGTCAAAGGCATCTAATTTATACCATCTGCTAAGGCAGAAGCTTGAGGATACCACCAAGCATACACTCATTCCATGTCCAACCCGACCTTCCTCTAACTTCAACCCACAAAAATGTAGTCTCAAGGAGTCCATCACGATACATCCCCAAAAGCCCTTTCTGCTATGGGGTTGACAGATGACACAAGTTCTTCCCATCATACTGATTCTTGCCTTCCGGGGACACAGAATAAGTTGCATAGCAGACTTTCAGAGACAGGAAGTTAAGCTCTGACAGGATGAAGGTCTCCCTAGGTACTCCTGAAGCAAATGCCTCCCAGTTTTGAGTGTGGCTACTTGTGGTCTGTTTTCTAGACCAGCCTTGATCTGCTCTTAACAAGGAAGTGTTAGTAACTCTGTGCCTTGGAGGAATTTTGAGGGGACTAGGAACCCGAACAATCTAGACAGTACACTCCATTCTTTTTTTTTTTGTCGGTCGTGGGGCTTGAACTCTGGGCCTGGGCGCTGTCCCTCAGCTCTTCAGCTCAAGGCAAGCGCTCTACCACTTGAGCTACAGCGCCACTTCCGGTTTTCTGGTGGTTTATTGGAGATAGGAGTCTCACAGTCTCTCCTGCCCAGGCTGGCTTTGAACCGCGATCCTCAGATCTCAGCCTCCTGAGTAGCTAGGATTACAGGCGTGAGCCACCAGCGCCTGGCTAGTACACTCTATTCTTGAGAACAACAGCTCCAAGTAGCCTCAAACTGAAGACAGCTCCATCCAGTGGCCCCTGATTAGGATCAGCCCATGCTTAAAGACATTAAGTTTCTGCCTTTCTAGGTTGCTAGGTCATGTGCAGTTCTGTTGATCTAATTTTGTTGTTGTTCAAGGGTACTGGTGTTTAAACCATTACTTGAGCCATGTCCACAGCTCATTTTTTATTTTTTTTGGGGTCGGTTGTGGGGCCTGGATTCTGGGCTTGGGTGCTGTCCCTCAGTTCTTCAGCTCACGGTGAGCATTCTATCACCTGAGCCACAGTGCCACTTCCAGCTTTTTCTGGTTATGTGGTGCTGGGGAATCAAACCCAGGGCCTCATGCTTGCAAGGCAAGCACTCTACCAATGCGCCACCTTCCCAGCCCAGCTCTTTTTTACTGTAATAACTTTTTCAGATCCTGCAGCCAGCCTCAGACCTAGCCATAAACACCAATCTACATCCTCTCACATAGCTCAGAGGACAGGGGTATACATCCACACAAGGCTCACTGAGATGTGGTCTTGCTGTCTTGGTTCCAAACCTCTATCCTCTCATTGTCCACCTCCCAAGTAGCTGGAATTACAGGCATCTGTCTCTGTGTCTGGCCTTGCCTTTTTTCATATTAAGTCATTTGAGGGTCTTCAAGTGTAGAGTGAGGCAGGAGTAGGAGTTTACATCCAAACAGTGGTGCTCTGCTCAAGCACTCTTGGCACCTCAGGCCCCAATTGCGGGTTCAATCCAGGCTAAGCCAGAGAGCCATCTGGTGGATGCTGCCTGACCTACAGCTGAGGAGGAAAGTTAATGTCAGGTGGGGTGGGAGAAATGTGTCTACAAACTGGCACTGTGAAGACTAGCTGGCTCAGTTTGACAAATGGTAATTGCCAAAACAGGCAGCTTTTGAACTGGTAAAACAAAAGCTTATAGGTGCAGTGGAAAATACTTCAACCATACCTAGTATCGGATTCTGGCTTTGATACTTGCACACTCGTGTGTGTGTGTGTGTGTGTCTGTCTGTGTTTTCCAGGGCTTTAACTCAAGGGCCCAGGTACTGTCTCTAGCTTTTTTGCTCAAAGATAGTGATCTACCACATGAGACATACTTCTTCAGGCTTTGGCCAACTAGAGATGAGTTTCATGATTTTCCTGCCCAGGCTGGCTTTGAACTACAATTTTCAGACCTCAGCCTCCTAAGTTGCTAAGATTACAGGCATAAGCCACCAGAACCTTGCTTCCCTTGGCTTCCCTGCCTCTCTCCACCCCCGCCCAAGTCATGGGGCTTGAAATCTGGGCCTAGGTACTGTCCCTGAGTTCTTCAGCTCAAGGTGAGCATTCTATCATTTGAGCCACAGTGCCACTTCCAGTTTTCTGATGGTTAACTGGAAATAAGAGTTTCAAGGACTTTCCCGTTCAGGCTAGCTTTGAACTGTGATCCTCTTTGAGTAGTTAGGATTATAGGTGTGAGCCACAAACAGGGGCTCTTATTTTTAAAATACTTATTTTAGGTGGTACTCAGGTTTCAACACAAGCCTACTTGCTATGCAGACACAATACCACTTATCTACTTTGTTAGTCCCTTTTTGTGTTGTCTCTATTCCCAGGCTGGTCTGTGACCCTCTATTTGTACCTTTTTTTGTCAGTCGTGGGGCTTAAATTCTAGGCCTGTGCGCTGTCCCTCAGCTCTTCAGGTTAAGGCTAGCGCTCTACCACTTGAGCCATAGCAGCACTTCCAATTTTCTGGTGGTTTATTGGGGCTGAGTCACATGGACTTTCCTGCCCAGGCTGGCTTTGAACTGTGAGCCTCAGATCTCAGCCTCCTTAGCTAGGATTATAGGTATGAGCCACCAGGCCCCGCTTATTTGTGCTTCCTTTTGCCACTAGAATGACAGGCATGTGCTACTCCACCTACCCACTGTGCTTATCTCATAGTTTGGATGACAGGTGTGTACCACTATACCCAGAAGTTTATTGAAGAGTTTCACAAACCTTTTTTTTTGTGTGTGTGTGTCAGTCATGGGGCCTGAACTCTGGACCTGGACACTGTCCCTCAGCTCTTCAGCTCAGTGCAAGCACCCTATCACTTGAGCCACAGCGCCACTTCCGGCTTTTTCTGCTTATGTGGTGCTGAGGAATTGAACCCAGGGCCTCATGCATGCAAGGCAAGCACTCTACCACTGAGCCACCTTCCCAGCCCCAGAGTTTCACAAACTTTGTGTTTGAACAAGTCCTTTTTTTTTTTGGTCATCGGTCATGGGGTTTGAACCTGGGTTTGGGTGCTGTCCCTCAGCTCTTCAGCTCAAGGCTAGTGCTCTACCACTTGAGCCACACCACCACTTCTGGTTTTCTGGTGGTTTATTGGAGATAAGAGTCTCATGGACTTTCCTGTCTGGGCTGGCTTTGAATCATGATCCTCAGATCTCAGCCTCCTTTGTAGCTAGGATTACAAGCGTGAACCAGCATGCCTTGTTATGGACCCCTTTCACAAAGGGTGGAGGTGACAGAGCTGGGAAGGTGGCTCAGTGGTAGAATGCTTACTTGGCATGCATGAGGCCCTGGGTTTAGGCCCTGAGGTGTTTAGGTTACCTGCATGCTTTTCCTTACCTTCCATCCACTCTGGAACTCATTCCAATCTGGCTTTTGTCCTTAGGCACTTGCCAAGTTCACCAGACTTCTTTGTTGCCAAAATTATTTAGCTCCCATACTCCCATAAACTGTCAATTCCCTGAATGTGTTTAAAACTGTCCTCTCCTGATTCTCCCTGTGCTTCCTGATTAACTTCTAAAATGGACTTCCTTTTCTCCTTACCCTGATCTATTTCCCTAACTTATACACTACTGTATAGTAATGCTTCTCAAGTCTGTCTCCTGAGTTTCAGACCTTCCTATCCAACTGCCTACTTGGCTTCTCTATCTTCTTGTACTATAGAAACTTCACACACCAAAGCCTGAAGTTATCACCTTTCCAGCCCAGTTTCTCTCTTTTTTGGGGCCAGTACTGAGTTTGAACTCAGGGCCTAAGCATTGTCCTTTTGCTTTTTGCTCAAGGCTAGTGCTCTACCACTTAAGCCACATTTCCACTGTTTGGTAGTTAATTGTTGATATGAATTCCATGGACTTTCCTGCCTGGGCTGGCGGCTGAATGGCTATACTCAGATTTTAACCTTCTGAGAGGATTACAGACATGAGCCACTGGCATACAGCCAGTCTCTCTTTTTGTAATTTATTTTAAGCCAGATTGATCTTTTGGCTTAAAAAGATCTACCTCCTGCTGGGAAGGTGGCTCAGTGGTAGTGCTTGCCTTGCATGCATGAGGCCCTAGGTTTGATTCCTCAGCACCACATAAGCAGAAAAAGCTGGAAGTGACACACTGTGGCTCAAGTGGTAGAGCGCTAGCCTTGAGCTGAAGGACAGTGACCAGGCCCAGAGTGCAGGCCCCATGACTGGCCAAAAAACAAACAAACAAAAAACCCAAACAAAAAAAATCTACCTCCTAAAATCCGTAATTCACACAGAAGCTTCAAAGCTTCAGATAGATCTGAATCATCTCCTTTCCGTTGAACACTCCAGTGGCTTCCCATCACCAACAAGAGAAAGTCCTTAGCTGGACATTTTAAGATTTGTGTCTGGCTGTCTCCTTTTCCCTCCTTGTGCAATGAACATGTGTGCCCTCCTTCCCAATTGTACTTTGGTTCATGCTATTCCTTCCTATCATCCCTACCCTTCTTTGCCTGGTTAACATCTCCAAATCCAGAGATACAGCTCAGTTTCACTTTCCCTGACAAACTCCCTGAGATTCCACTCTGGTTTATTAGAAAGCTCTCTTCTGTTCTGCCATTGACTATGGATTCTCAAATAGTGCTTATCACATCATATGACTAGTTTCCATCTTGCTCACATGATCTGTCAGAGGCACACCTTTACTCCTGCCCTATTCATACAGTCTGCACAGACGGTCTCCTTTGCTCACCACTGTATATCCAGTGTTTTGCACACTGTCACTCACCAGTTATAGGTGGTGTTTATACTTCAGGGTGTCTCTGCTAGTAAATATTCTCGGTTTTGTGCTGTCATCTTAGTTCAAACCCAACAACACGGATTTTAGTTTCTTTAGAAAATCCGTGATTTGGGGGCTGGGAAGGTGGCTCAGTGGTAGAGCACTTGCCTTGCATGCATGAGGCCCTGGGTTCAATTCCTCAGCACCACACAAGCAAAAAGAAAAAAGCCAGAAGTGGCACTGTGGCTCAAGTGGTAGAGCACTAGCCTTGAGCTGAAGAGCTGAGGGACAGCACCCAGATCCAGAGTTCAGGCCCCACGATCGGACCTAAAAAAAGAAAAAGAAAAAGAAAAAAATCCTAGCTGGGTGCTGGTGGCCTATGCCTGTAATCCTAGCTACTTAGGAGGCTGAGATCTGAGGATCATGGTTCAAAGCCAGCTTTGGCAGGAAAGTCCTTGAAACTTTTTTTTTTGCCAGTCGTGGGGCCCGAACTCTGGGCCTGGGCGCTGTCCCTTAGCTCTTCAGCTCAAGGCTAGCGCTCTACCATTTGAACTACAGTGCCACTTCTGGCTTTTTCTGCTTATGTGGTGCTGAGGAATCGAACCCAGGGCCTCATGCATGCAAGGCAAGCGCTCTACCACTGAGCCACCTTCCCAGCCCCTTTGGTGGTTTGTTGGAGATAAGAGTTTCAAGGAGGGCTAGGAAGGTAGCTCAGTGGTAGAGTGCTTGCCTTGCATGCATGAGGCCCTGGGTTCGATTCCTCAGCACCACATAAGCATAAAAAGCTGGAAGTGGTGCTTTGGCTCAAATGATAGGGCACTAGTCTTGAGCTGAAGAGCTAAGGGACAAGTGCTCAGGCTCAGAGTTCAGGCCCCATGAACGACAAAAACAAAAAACAAAAAACAAAAAACAATAAACCACCAAAAAACAGAAGTGGTGCTGTGGCTCAAGAGGTAGAGCACTCGCGTTGAGCTGAAGAGCTGAGGGACTGCATCCAAGCCCAGAATTCAAGCCCCATACCAAAAAAAAAAAAAAAAAAAAGCTAGACTGAAGGGTGGCAGTAAACAAGGCAAAGTACAAGGCCCTTAGTTTAAGCACCAGTACCAGCATAAAAAATAAAAATGCATATGACTTGGAAAGCCAAGAATTTGGGATGGGGATTGTCTGGCCCTTAGGCCAAACTTACTGATTGCAGGAGCCATGGGACAGGGTATCACTAGACTCAAGCACAGAGCAGGGGCCTGGCTGGGTATTCTAGCTGCAATTCATCCTTATCCTCCCAACTGTTCCTTTACAAGTCCTTAAAGCCAGAAAAGCAAAAGCAATATACCCAAATCTCTTTTGTCTTCACAGATCTGGTAAGTGAGGAGCCAAGGACAGGGCAACGACCACTGAAGTACTCAAAATCAGGAAAGTCACTGACCCAATCCTTGTGGCTCAACAACAATGTCCTCACTGACCTGAAAGACTTCAACCAGGTGATTTCACGGGTGTTGGAGCAACCACACAACCTGGCCTGGATCGACCTGTCCTTCAATGACCTGACTTCCATTGACCCTGTGAGTTCCTAGTCCTAGGAGTTCAATCAAGGTGGGGCCTAAAGTCATTGCCCATCTCCTGGCCTCTCCACTCCCACTTGTTACCAGGAAGTACAGAGGATACCTGGTTCAGTCCAAAGCACATAGCTATAGGAATGAACATTCAAATCCTGGTTTTGCCTCTATGTGACTTGGACATATGTAACTCCTCCAACCTCAGTTTTGCTGTCTGTCTGGGAAATGGGAATATGTCAGCATCATGTAAAGATTCTCCTATACAGGAACACATGAGAATCAAGCGGCTACATGTCTTATACTAAGTTCTGCTGAGAAAGAGGTTGATTAAAAATAAAGATAGCATAACACTTTCTGCCAACTCCAACTCAAGTTTGAAGATATAAACCAAATGTGACCTCTTCTTGTCCAAGATCCCTGTTAGAGAGGGAGGAATTAGAACATGATTTAGAAACTTCCCCATGTATATTACTCTCAATCTTAAAAGCTTGCCTAATGTGCCCAGCATGACACTCTATAGTTTTCTCCTGTTGACAGAATCTTGGGTCACAAGCATGGCGGCAGTGTTCAGCAAAGGGTGGAACATATGAAGCTCAGAGATAGAAGAGCCATCACTTGGCCAGTCAGTGCAGTGCTGAGACATGAGACCCTCAGATCATAGCTCTAATTAAGTGTGATATGCGAAATGGAAGCAGGTTAGAGTCATCTAGTGTGGCTGTGGGGACAGGAGGTGAGGGAGAGTTATTCCCAACCTTTTTTTCTCTGCTAGTGGGTCTATCCTGAGCAGAGATCAAGGGTCTTATCCAGCCTGGCTTTGGTTTCTTCTCCATCAGGTGCTAACAACATTCTTCAACCTAAGTGTCCTCTACCTTCATGGCAACAGCATCCAGCGCCTGGGGGAGGTGAATAAGCTAGCTGTACTCCCTCGGCTCCGGAGCCTGACTCTCCATGGCAACCCCATAGAGGAAGAGAAGGGGTATAGGTGAGTGTCATGTCTATGGAGCTGGGGGTCTATCCCCTGCAGGATGAGGGAGACAAGAAATACAAGGCCAGGTAAGGTGGCTTATACCTGTAATCCTAGCTACTCAGGAGGCTGAAATCTGAGAATCAAGGTTCAAAGCCAGCCCAAGAAGGAAAGGCCATGAAATTCTTATCTCCAGTAAACCACCAGAAAACCAGAAGTGGTACTGTGGCTCAAGTGGTAGAGCACTAGCCTTGAGCTGAAGAGCTGAGGGACAGCGCTCAGGCCCAGAGTTCAAGCCCCATGACCAACAAAAAAACAAAAACAAAATCAACTTTGCAAGACTCCATCTCAATCAATAAAAAGCTGGACGTAATGGTCCACACTGTCATCCCAGCTATTCAGAAGCATAAATATGGAGGATCACAGTCCAGGTCAGCCAGACAAAAAAGCAAAATCCTTCTCAAAAAGTAAACTATAAAGAATGGGCTGGGGATATGGCTCAAGGGAGATAGGTAGGATGCCTGCCTGCTAGCAAGCATGAGGCTGCGAGTTCAAAACTCTAAAATCCCAGTACCACCAAAAACAAAATAAAAAAACTATTTTTCTGCCACACATGGACCTGGGAAAGAAGCTGCAGACCTTTAGTATTTCCTTTGCTATTAGTCAGAATGAATCCTCCCGTCTCCCCAAAACTATACATAAGTCCCTTCATTCCTTGCAATCAGGGGAGATAGCAACTGGAAGAGGGGGAGGGGATTCTGGTGGGGGGGCTGGCCCCCAGCCCGAGTCTTCCCCACAGGCAGTATGTGCTGTGCACCCTGCCCCGTATCACCACGTTCGACTTCAGTGGAGTCACCAAAGCAGATCGTACCACAGCTGAAGTCTGGAAACGCATGAACATCAAGCCCAAGAAGGTTCGGATCAAGCAGGATACACTGTGAGAGCCCCAGGACACCAGTAGTCAGTTACCTTGGTTTGACAATAAATGATTTGAGCTGTTCAGCAGATTAAAAGTCGCTGTGCCTTGTGGAGATGTTGTCTGTTATCTAGCAACTGCCAGTAGCTCCAGTCTTACCACAGGAGTCAGGCAATTGAGGTAAAGGCCTGCTGCTTGGGACTCAGGAGTCCTAGGTTTACCACACAGCCATGGGGAACTTATCTGGACTCTTTAGCTTAGATATCATAGTCTGCAACTTCTAAATTCTTCTGTGTGGCTACCCAGAGGCTTCCGTGATAGACCCAGAAAGATGGACAGTATACACTTCAGTCAGATCACAGTAGTTCCACTCTCTCCTGTTTTATATGTTGGGATTCTGGCCTAAAATTTCATTAAGGCTGGGAATGTGGCTTACTGGTAGAGTGCTTGTCTAGCATGATGAAGCTCTGGGTTGATTCCTCAGTACCACAGTACCAGTGGTGTCCTGGCTCAAGTGGTAGAGTGCTAGCCTTGAGCAAAAGAAGCTCAGAGACAGTGCCCAGGCCCTGAGTTCAAGCCCCAGGACTGGTAAAAAAAAAAAAAAGATTTCTTTGGTAAGACCAATCTTCTGCTTAAAAACATTTGCTTTCTGGGGCTGGGAAGGTGGCTCAGTGGTAGAGCGCTTGCCTTGCATGCCTAAGGCCCTGGGTTCGATTCCTCAGCACCACATAAGCAAAAAGAAAAAAAGCCGGAAGTGGCGCTGTTGCTCAAGTGGTAGAGCACTAGCCTTGAGCTGAAGAGCTGAAGGACAGTGCCCAGGCCCAGAGTTCAGGCCCCACGACCGGACCCCCAAAAAAAAAAAAAAGAAAAAAGCCAGAAGTGGTGCTGCAGCTCAAGTGGTAGAGTGCTAGCCTTGAGCTGAAGAGCTAAAGAGCTGAGGGACAGTGCCCAGGCCCAGAGTTCAGGCCCCACGACCAGACCCAAAAAACAACAACAAAAAATTTGCTTTCTGAATCCCCATCAAGTGTCCCCAGCAGAACCTGTTTCCCATCCCTGCCCTCAGGGCTGCTGGTCATTCCACTGAGCCTGAGGCAGGGTCCCTAATTATCTCTGATTCAAATCCTCTAGGCTTTGACAGTGTAGCCACCAGTTGGGAATGAACAAGAACAATGTTACCTAATCTAAGGTTACCCAGGCCTAGTCTCAGCTAAGACCTAGGAACCAGAACCTCTAATGCCTAGTTTTTTCTTTAATGCCCTGGGAAGATGTCCCCTCCCCACAACTCATTCCTCACAGATCAGAGTAACCAAAGGAAATAGTAGGGTAGTAGGCAGGACAGAGGAGCTAAACCAGCACACAAATGAAATACTTTCTTTATCGAGGGTGACCAACAAAAACCAAAAAGACCAAACATGTAAAATCCAGGGTACTAGAAATACAAACTCAACTTACTCAAATTCAAGCTTATCTAGACCCTGGTCACAAACCCTAGTGAGGTGCTTTTGAGCACCAAGTTAGGGATGGGAACAGGAGTGAGTCTGAGGCCAAGAGAAAGGGTGAGAGGACCTCCTAGGTCCTCTGGTATTCACCCCTCCACAGTGGTATCTCTACCTTCCCAATGACTGAAGACCTACCAGGCCCTGTCTTCTTGGACCCTACCCCACCTTGGCCAGGGCTTTGAAGGCCAATCCCAAGCGGTTTTACCCTCCCTTGCTCCACCTCACTTGCTCAGGCTTCTAGCCTCACTCTCCTCCTCCTCCTCCTCCACATTCTTGTCCATGATTAGTTAGCAGGTTAGGGTACTGTATAAGCCACAGTGAGGCTAGGGTCCAGGAGAGGTGGGGTGGAGATGGGATGAAGAGAAGAGAAGAGCTGTCCAAGGATCCTCTCTTCACGGGATCCCAAACTGTACAACCAGCTCCTCTTTTGCATCCACACGGATCTGAGAAAGTGCACTGTAGGCATAAGCAGCTATCCTGGAGACCTGAGAAAGAGGGGAGGAGAAGAACAGCCATGTGAGGAGGGAGAGGGATCCAGGGGGAAGGAAGAATAGGATGGTTATAGGAGGAATGGGATAGAAAAAAGGAAGGGATTACAGAGGACAGAAAACCATACAGTCAGGTACCGGGATGCATACTTATAATCCCACCATTCAGGAGGCTAAGGCAGGAACATCATAGGCTACAAAGACCTTATCTCAAAACCCAAGGGTTGCTGGGCTCCAATGGCTCACACCTATCTGTTCAGATCTGAGGAACAAGAAGCCAACCTAGGCAGCAAAGTCTGTGAAACACTTGATTTCCAATTAAGCACCAAGTGGGACTGGCTCAAGAGGTAGAGCAGTAGCCTAGAGACAAAAAGCTCAAGGAGGGGGGCTGGGAAGGTGGCTCAGTGGTAGAGCGCTTGCCTTGCATGCCTGAGGCCCTGGGTTCAATTCCTCAGCACCACATAAGCAAAAAAAAAGCCGGAAGTGGCCCTGTGTCTCAAGTGGTAGAGCGCTAGCCTTGAGCTGAATAGCTGAGGGACAGCACCGAGGCCCAGAGTTCAGGTCCCATGACTGCAAAAAAAAAAAAAAAAAAAAAAAAGCTCAAGGACAGTACCCAGGCACTGAGTTCAAGCCCCAGGACCAGCACAAAACAAAACAAAAACTCCAAGGGCAAGGGATGCAATTCATTGGTAGAATGCTTACCAAGCATATGCAAGATCCTACATTCAATCCCTAAAAACACCCACAAACATGGGGCTGGGAAGGTGGTTCAGTGGTAGAGCGCTTGCCTTGCATGCCTAAGGCCCTGGGTTCGATTCCTCAGCACCACATAAGCAAAAAGAAAAAAAGCCGGAAGTGGCGCTGTGGCTCAAGTGGTAGAGTGCTAGCCTTGAGCTGAAGAACTGAGGGACAGCGCCCAGGCCCAGAGTTCAGGCCCCACGACTGGACCCAAAACAAAAAACAAAAAAACAAAAACACCCACAAACATACACAGCCAAAGAGAAAGGCAGGGATGGGAAAGGCAGAAAAGAACAATCTAGAAGAATAAAGGTAGTGGGGAGAAACTGGAGAGGATTAAAAAAAAAGAAAGGGAATGGACTGGGCCAGCGGGCTACTCACTTCCTCTGTCACTATGGGCAGTATGGGAAGGGTGGAGTAGTCATGCTAGGGTTACTCACCTGCTGCAAGTCAGAGAAGGGGATGGGCTCGCTGGCCAGCACTTGATGGGGCTGGCTGGTGAGAGATGGTAGTGGTGGCAGCTTTTTCCAATGTGTGAGGCTGCTGCTTAGCACAGCCAAGCGGGTGCTGACCAACAGGAAGGAAATAAAGGGCAGTTAGGCCAGAGTCCAATCCAGCCCACACAAGCCTCATTCCCTCAGGCCAGGGAGCTCATTTTTACTCTGGGTTATACCTCCTTTAACCTGTACCCTACAGGGTGTCCTACTAAGACACCCAAGTGATTTGTTGTCAGTCTCTTGGCTATACACTAATGAAGCTGGAAATCGATGGAGAAGAGGGGAGGGCCCTGGCTGGCCTGTGCTCACCTGTACTGCCTTGCCCGGTCCATGTATTCATGCTGCTCCATGCCCTGGGAGTCTGCAGCAGATACATCGATGATGTTGCTTTGGAGAGAGGAGATAAGAGAACAAGCATGACAGAAGCCTCAGGGACAAACAGGACTCACTGCCATGTGCCAATGCCCCTAATGTCCCCACCTGCTGACTGAAGCAGGACAGAGTCCAGAGACACCTCTCACCACCCCCATATCTGGGGCTTGGGAGCCAGCATTCCAGCCCTGACTTGATCAGGGGAGCTCTGTTACAGGCCTGGTCCTGTGACTCTCACCTGGCTGTCTTGGCGAGGATGGAGGAGAGCAGGGCCTGCTCATCTGTGCGAGCAGAAGGCAGGCTGTGGTAGTTAGGCTCAGCTCCATTGAGGGCTTTGGTGGGGGGACTACCAGGGTCCAGCAGCAGCTTCCTCTCCTCTCGGTCCTAGGAGAGGTAAGAAGTCAGCCCCAGGACCTTTCTACTTTTTTTCTTTTTTTGTCGGTCATGGAGCGTGAGGGCGTTGAGGGCGCTGTCCCTCAGCTCTTCAGCTCACGGCTAGCACTCTAACCACTTGAGCCACAGCACCACTTCCAGTTTTCTGGTGGTTATTTGGAAATAAGGGTTTCAAACTTTTCTGCCCTGGCTGGCTTTGAACCGTGATCCTCAGATCTCAGCCTCCTGAGTTGCTAGGATTACAGGCATGAGCCACCAGCGCCCAGCCTTTCTACCTTTTTTATACTTTTATAATGAATATCCAAAGTACCCAACTTTATGGGATATCAGATAATACTCTGCCTGCCCTTGGGAGCTCAGCAGAGGTAGTGGTCTGGAATGCAGAGAGGCACAGGCAGACATTAAGCAATAGCCCTGAAGCTTCAAAAAACAGTCCCACACCTAGTGAAGGAACATTTGGGAGGGTAGAAGCAAGCAGAGTTGGGAAAATACCAACAAAGTTTAGTACAAATTTGTCATCCTTCATCTCCTGAACAAGGCCCTTCCAACAAGGCTGGCTGTCTGCAACCAAGATAGAAAGGCCCCAAGTGAGCAGGGGAAAGAAAGCAAGCCTAACCTCATCAGAGCCATTTCTCAGATTATCTTGGGGCAGAACCCCCCAGCCTTTGGGTCACATACAAATGTGTTCCCTTCTTTAGAGCAGATCCTTTCTCTCAGGTGTTCACCTTCCTGTCCTCCAGTGCTTTTTACTTTTGTCGGTCATGGGGCCTGAACTCTGGGACTGGGCACCGTCCCTCAGCTATTCAACTCAAGGCTAGTGTTCTAACACTTGAGCCACAGTGCCACTTCCAGCCTTTTCTGCTTATGTGGTGCCGAGGAATCGAACCCAGGGCCTCATGCATACAAGGTAAGCACTCTACCACTGAGCCACCTTCCCAGCCCTCCTCTAGTGCTTTGTATGTGACTCCTGGACTGCAAGAGTGAGTATGAACACTGGAGCTGTTCCCTCCCTTCCTAAATCATACCACTTTAAATGTGGCCTGAGCGACCTTTTATTTTTAGTAGTCCTGTTACTACTAGCATGAACAATCACAACCTCCAGAACCAAACCAAGTGTCCCTAGTCCTACATAACTAACTGTCTCTTTCCCTGTCTTGTTTCAGACTCTTGTTCTAATGTATTATTTTCTGGATGCAATTCTATCTTGAACCACTCAGGTGCAAATCCCTGCTGGCTTTGTATCAATTGGATAAACTAACTTGCTCCGCGTCTTTCCAAGCCATAAAGCGCTTAGGACAAAGCTGAGGATGGGGAAGAGGGGAATCCTGGCTAAGACTGACTCACCAACCTTAAGTGCCAGATTACCAGATTTAATGCTCCCCTCAGGATGGTCTCATTTTCTTTTTTTGCTAGTCCTGGGGCTTGAACTCTGGTTCAACTTCTTTTTCTCAAGGCTAGCACTCTACCACTTGAGGCAGAGTGCCACTTTCAGCTTTTTCTGTGTATGTGGTACTGGGGAATCAAACCCAAGGCTTCATGCATGTGAGGCAAGTACTCTACCACTAATCCACATTCCCAGCCTCTGTCTCAGTTTCTACCACAGACTTCCCTATTGCAGAAGCATGCCCAAAACTTGCCTTACAGAAGGCTGCTTCCTCTAGTCAGACCCAGCCTTTTCTTGCTCTTCCTCCTTCAAGCCTGTGGCTGGAGTCACCAACTCATTTGATCCAATTCACTATAGCATAAGAAGCCATAAGCTTCTGTCCCATTACATCTAAACTCCCAGATACTTTGTCTTCCTTCTCACTATTAAAGGGCCAGAGAGACGAACTTGCTTGCCAAAGACGAAACTCTCTAAGGAAAGCTGGTTCATACTGAGGTCCCAGTTTGCTTCCTGTAATAGCAGTCCTTCCCCTAATCCTGCTTCTGACATATCCTCCTCTAAGATGGTTTCTCCTCTTAGGGTTCAAGAATAAGGTTATCACCCTGACTCCATAAGAGGCCTTGCTACCCCTTTGATAGTAAAACAAATATCTCATAGCCAAAGCATGAGTGGAGCAAGGAGTAGATTGTCACACCAAAGCTTGTTCTTGAGTCAGGATTCACTGTGTACCTTAACACAGACTTTTTTTTTTCCTTTTTGGTTGGTTGTGGGGCTTGAACTCTGGTCTTGGGCCCTTTCCCTGTGCTCTTCAACTCAAAGCGAGCACTCTACCCCTTGAGCCACAGCACCGCTTCTAGTTTTCTAATGGTTTACTGGAGATAAGTCTCACAGACTTTCCTGCCCGGGCTGGCTTTGAACAGTGATCCTCAAATCTCAGCCTCCTAAGTAGCTAGGATTACAGGCGTGAGCCACCGGCACCGAGCTTTAGCACAGACTTATATGTAACCTTTCTATACTGACCACCTGGTCTCTGGACATAGCTAGAAGAGACAACTTGGCCCAACAGATAAGGCACATGACTTGGCAGCAGAACATCCCAGCTAGGGCACTTCTCAGGTTGGCCAACTCACTTAGCCTCTGTAAATTTTCCCTCACCTTTAGCTAGACATAATCCATATAACAGATGATTGGCAATGAGTCAAATGAGGTAACTGGAAAGGCTATACTATGAAACTTAAAAACTCTTGGGGTTGGGAAGGTGGCTCAGTGGTAAGAGCGCTTGCCTTGCATGCTCGAGGCCCTGGGTTCGATTCCTCTGCACCACATAAGCAAAAAGAAAAAAGCCAGAAGTGGCGCTGTGGCTCAAGTGTTAGAGCACTAGCCTTGAGCTGAAGAGCTGAAGGACAGCACCCAGGCCCAGAGTTCAGGCCCCACAAGTGGACCCCCCCCCCCAAAAAATCTGAACACTGGGGCTGGGAACGTGGCTTAGTGGTAGAGTGCTTGCCTAGCATGCATGAAGCCCTGCGTTCTATTCCACAGTACCACATACACAGAAAAAGCCATAAGTGGTGCTGTGGCTCAAGTGGTAGGGAGCTAGCCGTGAGCAAAAGAAGTTCAGGGACAATGCCTAGACCCTGAGTTCAAACCCTAGGAGTGGCATAAATAAAATAGAAAAAAAAAAACTTTGAACACTATGATTTGCTGTATACATAAAGAGGCGGTGGTGAGAGTAGCATGCTAAGGGACTGGTAAGGAAATGAAGAAGGTCTTCTGGGACAGTGAATGGTTATGGCCTTTGTCAGGAGACCTCAAATCACTCCCATTGTATGCAAGTAAGAAATAGAAAGTCCAGCTGGGTGCCGGTGGCTCATGCCTGTAATCCTAGCTACTCAGGAGGCTAAGATCCGAGGATCGAGGTTCAAAGCCAGCCCTGGCAGGAAAGTCCATGAGATTCTTATCTCCAATAAACCACTAGAAAATCGGAAGTGGCTCAAGCGGTAGAGCACTCAACTTGAGCTGAAGAGCTGAGGGACAGCGCCCAAGCCCAGAGTTCAAGCCCCATGACCAACAATAAATAAATAAACAAATAAAGTTATTCTTTCTCAAAAACATGAATTCTTACTTCTTGTAAGTCAGCAGTAGTATGCTTTAAGAGACATGGGGCTGGGAAGCGGCTCAGTGGTAGAGCGCTTCCCTTGCATGCATGAGGCCCTGGGTTCGATTCCTCAGCACCACATAAGCAAAAAGAAAAAAGCCAGAAGTGGTGCTGTGGCTCAAGTGGTAGAGCGCTAGCCTTGAGCTGAATAGCTGAGGGACAGCGCCCAGGCCCAGAGTTCAGGCCCCATGACCGGACCCCAAAAAAAAAAAAAGAGACAATTACCCACAATGCCACAGATCTCCCATTAAGCCAGAATATAGCTGTTTCTTTCTCTGACAGGCTAAGATGAAATAAGAGGTACTGGCCATGAGACAAGGAACAGGACATCCGGGTATGTAGGTGTGTTTTTTGGATGTTTTGAAAGTTGACATCAGAAGACATTCATGCCTCCAACACAAATAGCACTTGACTGAGCTTAAGTCCTTAAGCCAAAATACCTTCAACAGGGAAAGAATAACTTCCTAAGTATCAGTGATATACAATCTACTTCTGTGATATTATTTCTTGTGAAGACTACAAGCTGGGGGCTGGGAAGGTGGCTCAGTGATAGAGCGCTTGCCTTGCATGCCTGAGGTCCTGGGTTCAATTCCTCAGCACCACATAAGCAAAAAGAAAAAAGCCGGAAGTGGCGCTTTGGCTCAAGTGGTAGAGCGCTAGCTTTGAGCTGAAGAGCTGAGGGACAGTGCCCAGGCCCAGAGTTCAGGCCCCACGACCGGAACTGTGGTTCAAAGCTAGCCTGGGAAAGAAACTCCCTGATACTCATCTCCAATAAATTACTCAGAAAAAGCTGGAAGGGGTGCTGGTAGAGCGCTAGCCTTGAGCACAACAAGGCTCAGGGACAACACTCAGGCCCTGAGTTCAAGCCTCAGGATCAGCAAAATAAAAGACAGCTGGGAATGTGGTTTAGTGGTAGAGTGATTGCCTAGCATGCATGAAGCCCTGGATTCAATTCCTCAGTACCACATACACAGAAAAATTCTAAAGTGATGCTGTGGCTCAGAATGGTAGAGTGCTATCCTTGAGCAAAAAGCTCAAGGACAGTGTCCAGGTTCTGAGTTCAAGGCCCAGGACTAGTAAAAAAATAAATAAAAAATGACTGTGAGCTACTGGATGAGACTATTTTACTTGCCTCTGTGCTTACTATGTCAAAAAAAAAAAAAAAAAAGGTGAGTGGCCAGCAGCTTGAAAATTCACCCTTGGAAAGATCTCCTCCTAAAGGGTGATCAAGCCAGGCAGGGCAGGAATTGAAGGGTGGAGAGTAGTTAGACTGTATGAAGGGGAAGAGAGAATTTAAAAACAGGACACGGACACATCTCCAATATAACCTTTCACGCGTTTTTAAGGCAAGCACTCTGTTTAGAGGAACCTTCAAGCACCCTCAAGGGTCTGAAGAGAAGACAGGACAACTCAGAAGCAAGTAACTTTCCCCAGCCAATTTATTTTTCCCTAACAGCCAAAACTACCTTCCAGTTAATGCTTCCCCAACAAATGCCCACACATCCTGATGTCCTCGCTGCATTCTTAAATTCAGTAGTCAACTCCAATGCCATCAACTCCGACATCGAAGCAGCGGTGACTTTATGTCTCTGACTCTAGGAAAAGTAGCTACACAAATTCTCGATTCATTTAAGTAGACGTAGAGCCTCAAGTTTACCCACCTCTACAATGGATTCGCAAACCCCGCTAATACAGCAAACGAGGTGGGGGGAGTACTTCCCAGGGACCTAGGCAGGGAGTCCAGAACAGACTGGGGACAGGGGAGAATAAAGGGGAGTTGGCGAGTGAGATATCCGGCTGCCTGCATTACCCCGGGAGAGGAGTGTAGACCTGGAGCTTTAATAGGCTAGCCAAGCTTGGCGTTCCCCCCGCCCCCCCCCCCCCCCCCCCCCCCCGCTCCCGTAGTCTGTCCCCTTTAGGCCTCCGTACTCGGTGAGCTCTGCAGTCCGTCTACTCTCTGTAGGTTTTTTTCCTCCTAGGCCCCAAGCGCCCAAGAGTCAAAACCCTCACTCCCGAGCCCCGTGTGCCGCGCACCTGGTCCGAATCCTCGTTTTCGCTGCTGTAGCAGCACCCCATGGCCGGGGTCGGGCCGGGCGCTCAGGCGGCGCCGTGGAGGGACGGTGTCCGTCAGGAGCCCTTCCGGTCACATGACCCGCGGCCGACGCTCGCCAGCAGCCACCCGCTCCCCTCCCCCAGTTTACCCAGTCCCGGAGCCGCAGAGGCGCCGCTGCCAAACCCCGACTTCCGGCCCCGCCTCTAGTCACGTGGACACCACCAACCAATAGAGAAGGTGCACCCTGCGGGCCGCGGCAGAACACGTGATGCGAAGGAAGGGAGGGGCCTATCACATGACTCTCCTCTTCCCAGTTGCCTGCTTGTTTTGCTGTACCGCCGGATTGGATTTATGCCTCCGCACTTGATTCGCACCCTCAGCCCACCTTCTAGTTCCTGAGCGCGGGTTTTCGCCACCATAGTGGCCCTCTTGTGAATTTGTGCGTTGTGATCACACACCTTTTTAGTCCAGTGAGCAGAGCCATCCCAAATGTTATGCCCTGTTCCATACACCACGTGAGGAGCGCGCGCGCACACACACACACGCACACACACACGCCCGCCGGACACGCGCTCGCGCACGCGCGCACACACACACACACACACACACACACACACACGCACGCCCGCCGGATGCTCGATGCCTTAGTCCGCGAGTAGATTGGGCCTTCTTCCTTATATAAGCTGAAAAAGCACCACGTCTCGACCTCCTTGCTCACGGGCTTTTGCCTTCAGTCTTGCCTTTTTACAGCAGCCATTGAAATCTAGCACGTAAAGATGCCCATCCAGTCTTCCCATGTCTCCCTTGTCCATGGACACAGTTCCAAATTATATATTGTCTGGAAACTCTCTCATTCTATGGCAATGAGGTGGAGTGGCACAGGGAAATATGTGACAGTTTTGTGAGTGACATCCTGTACTTTGCACCTGTGGCCTGGGATACTTTCCTCCCCCTTAGTGAGAGCAAGTGTGTTGGGGGGATGTATATGATGTGTATATGATGTATATTCCCCCCCCCCCCCCGCCCCCTTCCAGTCCTGAGGAAGTCTGGGCTTGGGCACTGTCCCTGAGCTTATTTTGCTCAAGGCTAGTACTCTACCACTTGAGCCACAGCACAACTTCGGCTTTTTCTGTGTATGTGGTACTGAGGACTCGAACCCAGGGCTTCATGCATGCCAGGCAAGCACTCTACCACTGAGCCACATTCCCAGCCCTAATGTGTACTTCTGATTGTCTTCTCTGACCCAATTCTGTATCTCTAATTCTATCTGCTTAATCCTGATATACTACCATTCGCTCAAGTATTAAATCCATAAGTATTTACTATTACATGCCACCTAATATTCTATCTGAATAGACAGCCATTCAGAAAACTGCAAATAACTTGTATCCACGGAGCATCTAACCTAGTGATCACAGTACCTATATTCTCTTGTTCCTGGGCCAGTTTCTTCTACCAAACTTGGAGTTCTTGGAGGACAGGAAGACACTAGACTGTTCTGTTACCCAAGCCTTAACACTTGCTTAGAGAAATTTGAATTTTGAATTAAGTTACAATCTCTCCACTACTATGGCTCAGACTAACCCTTATGCCCTGAACCAAGGGACTGAAGAAGAGACCAGCCCTAGAAGCACTTGTTTCTCATCAAATCAAGACTCTGGAGTTCTGTGCATATGTGTGTGTGTGTGTGTGTGTTGGTTGTGGTTGTGGTGGTGTTTTGCCAGTCCTGGACTTGAACACAGGGCTTGGGCACTGTCTCTGAGCTTCTTTTGCTCAAGGCTGCCACTCTACCACCTGAGCCAAAGCACCACTTCTGGCTTTTTCTGTTTATGTTGTACTCAGGAATTGAACCCAGGGCTTCATACATGCTAGGCAAGCACTCTACCACTATGCCACATTCCCAGACCAAGAGTTGTTTCGGGGGATTTCTTTTTAGGTTTTGTCATGGGGGAAGGTTGTTTGTTTTTTTTGTGGTATTGTGGGTTTGAACTCAAGGCCTTGGGCCAAGAGCTCAATTACCCCAGCCCTTCTGTTAAGATTTTTGAAGGGTAGGCAGCAGCTTGAGCTTGTCCCTGGTTCTGGTAACTTGAACTGCAAGTCTCAGGTAACAATAGCAGCTTCAGCATCAATAATTGAAAGCAGATACAGCCTCCTGTCTCAGGGTTATTTCCTTCAAAGACTTCCCCTCCTGTCCTGTTCTCCCATCTTCCCTAAGCAGGAGCCTGCACTCCAGGTAAGCAGAGCCCTTGAGCTTCCAGCCAGGTAAGCAGGGTCTTATGGGTCCTTAACATCAGTTCACGGCCACCACCACTCACCTATTCAAATCTTAACACTCTCACTCCTTGTTTGTCCTATACCAAGGAGGCCTACCAGGTCACATGAGGTCTAGAATATAGGAGAGGAGAGGGAAACCATCCCCCTTAGTGAGGGAAGCATGTGGTATGTGGATATGTATGCATATAAATTGAATCATAAAGGAAATTCTGGGAGCACAGGGGAAGAGGGGGATTCAATAGAGGGGATATAGATCTGGAGAACAAGTACAGAATCAAGAACTCTTTCCACCTGCAGGGACAACTCCTGAGGTGGGAAAGATGGTATCCTAAGGCCTATTGTTTTATTTTTGGAGAGAGTATATGTAGTTCAGGTTGGCATCAAATTCAAGATCCTCTTCCCTTTGCCTCCAAATACTGGGACTACAGGTGTGCATACCATATCAGACCTATATAAGGTGTTTTTGTTGCTTTTTACTGAGATTGAGTACATCAGTGAGGGGTTTCTGACTACACAACATAGTATGAATACTGGGTCAGAGAAGACCAGTTAGGAACTATGGAGAAGAAATGCCAGGAAAAACTGATGAAAGAAGATATAAAGAAGAGGTGACATGGGCTGGGAAGGTGGCTCAGTGGTAGAGCGCTTGCCTTGCATGCTCAAGGCCCTGGATTCGATTCCTCAGCACCACATAAGCAAAAAGAAAAAAGCCGGAAGTGGTGCTGTGGCTCAAGTTGTAGAGTGCTAGCCTTGAGCTGAAGAGCTGAGGGACACCGCCCAGGCCCAGAGTTCAGGCCCCACGACCGGACCAAAAAAAAGAAGAGGTGACATTAGGAGAAAAGAGAAAAGCGCTGGGAGAACAATGTGTAGATGGATCCAAAGGCCAATACCCTGCCTAATGTGGACAGTATGGAATCCTAAAAAAGCACATAGGCTGGGCTGGGAATGTGGCTTAGTGGTAGAGTGTGTGCCTAGCATGCATGAAGCCCTGGGTTTGATTTTTCAGTACCACATACACATACAAGCTGGAAATTGTGTCATGGCTCAAGTGGCAGAGTGGTAGCCTTGAGCAAAAGAAGCTCAGGGACAGTGCCCACGTCCTGAGTTCAAGCCCCAGGGCTGGCAAAAAAAAAAAAAAGTACAAAGGCTGGGAATCATCCAATCTAGACTCAAATCCCAGTTGTATTATGTGACTGCTCAAAACACAGCCTTTTCTGAACCATGGTTTATAAATAAGAACACAGTAATTTCTACTAATGAAGGCTGCAAAGATGACACTCTGTGCATCACCTCTCTAACAGTTTTTTTTTTTTTTTGGGTCTGGTTGTGGGGCCTGAACTCTGGGCCTGGGCCCTGTCCCTCAGCTCTTCAGCTCAAGGCTAGTGCTCTACCACTTGAGCCACAGCACCACTTCCGGCTTTTTTCTTTTTGCTTACGTGGTGCTGAGGAATCGAACCCAGGGCCTCATGCATGCAAGGCAAGCGTTCTACCACTGAGCTACCTTCCCAGCCCCTCTAACAGTTTTTTAAAAAGCAAGGGAAAAAATAGTGGAGGTGGGTCTTCCTGTCTCCCTCTACCCGCAGGGTCCAGGTACAGACCATGTCCCCTGCTATTGCACTGGCGTTCCTGCCACTGGTGGTGACATTGCTGGTGCGATACCGGCACCACTTCAAGTTGTTGGTGCGCACAGTCTTGCTGAGGAGCTTCAGAGACTGCCTGTCAGGACTGCGGATTGAGGAACGGGCCTTCAGCTATGTGCTCACCCACGCCCTTCCTGGGGACCCTAGCCACATCCTCACTACTCTGGACCACTGGAGCAGCCACTGCGAGTACCTGAGCCACATGGGGCCTATCAAAGGTCAGTTCCCCCTTCCCTAATCTTCTGCTTCAGGAAGTACTCCTAAGAAGGTAGAGGAAGTTCTGAGATCTGACTGTCTTAGTACTGGATGAATTGTACAGGTTCATGTCCATTTTTATTCTTGTTCTTCCCTGGAAATAAGGGGTCTTGACTAAGTCATTCATTCCCCCAGCAAACACCTATTGCCACCTCTTTTGTATGAGGCAGCTGCTAAGGAAAGGAGGCAGAGGCTACAGAGAAGTGCCAGACAAATGCTGACCTGAGGGACAGAATCTAGGGGAGGGGCTGGGAATGTGGTCTAGTGGTAGAGTGCTTGCCTCTCATGCATGAAGCCCTGGGTTTGATTCCTCAGTACCACATACAGAAAAATGCTGAAAGTGACACTGTGGCTCAAATGGTAGAGCACTAGCTTTGAGAAAAAGAAGCTCAGGGACAGTGTCCAGGCCTTGAGTTCTAGCTCCAGGACCGACGAGAGAGAGAGAGAGAGAGAGAGAGACAGAGACAGAGACAGAGACAGAGACAGAGAGAGCGCCAGGTACTGGTGACTCATGCCTGTAATCCTAGCTACTCAGGAGGTTGAGATCTGAAAATCACAGTTCAAAGCCAGCCCAGGAGGAACGAACGTCCACGAGATTCTTATTTCCAATAAACCCCATAAGTGGTGCAGTGGCTCAAGTGGTAGAGCGCTGTTAGCCTTGAACTGAAGAGCTCAGGGACAGCACCTAAGCTCAGAGGTCAAGCCCCACCATTCTCTCTTTCACACACACACACACACACATATCTAGGAAATAACATAGCTTTTTTAGTAACTACTTGTGTCTAAGTCTTCCTTACCACAGCAATGTCCACACATGATTCAGGATAACTATCTACTTAACTATTTATCTCAGTCTTATAGTTTTCAGCACAAGGGCTTTAGCCTTATTTAAACTCATCCAATTCTAAGATCAGGCACATTCAATGAACAGGCCACAGAGAAGAGCTTAGAGCTGTAGCTGGGAAGCTAAGATTTGATCTGGTCCAAGAAGATCCTGAATGCCAAGTTCAGTCCCAAATGCCTTTAGGATCATGACAGCCAGCTTGACAGGGTTAGATCTGAGGCAGATTTCTACACTGGACTAGGTCCATGAGAAGCAGGACCCCAGCTAGGTGGGGGCTGTAGGAAGCAGGTAGGAATCTCAAATCACTTTTCATCAAGGGCCCTATATCCATTTCTGTTACAACCCACCTTGTGCCTCTTAACCCGCAGCCGCCAACCAGGAGCGAGGCAGTAATGGAGACCAGACCAGAGCACGGAATTTAGATTTGGGTATCAAGGGACTTGTAGCCTCCCGACAGCTTCAGAACCCAAGGTTCCATTAACCAAGGTTTTTATTGGTTTCCTATAGGGAAGCACGTGCAGAAAGTAAGATTTAAACGTGTGACAATATTTTATATACAAGTGGTAGGAGAACACTTTATCTTGTGAATGACAGCTAAGCAGTAAACAGCTTATAATTTGCATAACTCTTCGTCTACCCTCAAGCTTCCATGCAGTTTAGAGTGGAATTAACCCACACCCAGGATAGACTTGAATTCCTGTTAAGTTAGGACTGATTGACCTTTCCATGAAGCTCTTAGTGTTCTGAGAGTATGGTGGGAGAAGGCTTTACAAACTCCCAATCCTTTTGGGTCTCACAGCTTGGCTTTTCAGGCTCTCACACATTTCCTTACCCCACAGGTCAGATCGTGATGAGGCTGGTGGAGGAGAAGGCCCCTGCTCATGTGCTGGAGTTGGGCACCTTCTGTGGTTACTCCACATTGCTTATTGCTCGTGCCCTGCCCCCTGGGAGTCGCCTTCTCACTGTGGAACGTGACCCGCGCACGGCAGCAGTGGCTGAAAAACTCATCCGCCTGGCTGGCTTTGATGAGCACATGGTCAGCATCCCCATCTCCCCAACTCTGATCCCTTCTGTCATCCCCAGGCCTTGTCTTAGCCAGACCTTCTTTGTGGGAAACTCCAGTTCCACTTAGGTAACTGTGATCTTGGAGGGTACATGACTTCCTACCTTCCTGCCCCCCAAGTCATTTACACTTCTTTCCTTCTGGATGACAAAAGCAGCAGCTAATTGTTTTCAGAATCTTTATTAGTTCCTTCAGCTAATGCATGTGCCCTCTGAAGCTCAGCTTCTTTGTGGAAATGGAAATCACAATATGGTCTGCACATCTTGAGTTCTGGACTTCTTGGGCCTGAGAGGAAAGCATTTCCCTCCCACCCTCACTCCAGCTCTTCTCTCCCTACAGGTAGAGCTCATCACAGGCAGCTCAGAGGAAGTGATCCCCAAACTGAGAGCTCAACACCAGCTGAGCCGGGCAGACCTGGTGCTTCTAGCACATCGGCCTCGATACTACTTGCGGGACCTGCAGCTGCTGGAGGCTCATGCGCTGCTGCCAGCTGGTGCCACTGTGTTGGCTGACCACGTGCTCTTCCCTGGTGCACCCAGATTCCTACAGTATGCTAAGAGCTGTGGCCGCTATCGCTGCCGCCTCCACCATACTGGTCTTCCAGACTTCCCTGCCATTAAGGATGGCATAGCCCAGCTCACCTATGCTGGACCTGGCTGAGGTCCAGGACCAGGGGTATTTTCTGATGCACCCCACCCCCACCCAAGAAAAGACCTCAGAATCTCCCTTTCCCTTCCTGTTTGGAAACCAATACAAGCGAGGCTCAGGGCTAAAGAGGTTCTCTTCCCAACTTTGCCCCCTTCAGCCTCCACATGACCTGAAGTGTCAATCTTTTTTTTTTTTTTTTTCCCCGCCAGTCCTGGGGCTTGAACTCAGGGCCTGGGTACTGTCCCTGAGCTTTTTTTGCTCAAGGCTAGCACTCTACCACTTGAGCCACAGGGCCACTTCTGGCTTTTTCTTTTTATGTGGTACTGAGGAATCAAACTCAGGGCTTCCATGTATGGTAGGCAAGCACTCTACCACTAAGACACATCCCAGCCCTGAGGTATCAATCTTATCAGGCTGTTTAGTCCTCCTGACTTCCTCCTTCTAGATCAAGCCATGGACTGCAAGTAGGATGCTTGAGCTCCCAACCCACCTCTATCAATAATTTGCTTGGTGATACCACAGGAGTCTTCTGCCTTGCTCTGAGATTTAATTTACTATCTTTACACAGGACCCCTAGCTCTAGGCCTTAGAAAGCCTCCCCTCCTCAGCCCATCCATTTTGGGCAGGATCATAGGAAACAGTAGACAATGATAAAAAAAAAAAACCAAACATGCAGGAATAGCTGGGTAAAACCTGGACCAAAGGAAATGGTACAGGAGCCTAGACTTAGGCTCCCCAACCAGAGTCCACCTGACCCATTAGATTTGCTTGCTCTCCCTTCAACACCACCTATCCAATGCCCAAGGAAGATGTGGATTCCTTGGGACACCACCAACAAATAGGGAATAGACATGGGGGGAAAAAAATCAGTCCTGTGTCTTTATTAAAGAGGGCTAATAAGGGGCAAGACCTGGCAACAAAGGGGTGAGGTACTGGCCAGGATGGTAGGGCAGAATGGGGCTCAGACTCTGGGGATTCAAGAGCAGAATGATGGCCTGGGAGGGGCCAAGGAGACCGAGACCAAGTCCTGGTAGCAGCTGAGGAAGTGACCAAAAGTGAGCCTTCAAGCACCAGGGCCATCAGATGGTTTCGTGGGTTGGAGCTGGAGGTGCACAGTAGGTTAGGCTGGCTTGCAATCTCCCTGAGGCCATCTTGCCTTGGTCTACCTAGATCATCCACTGGTCTTGATCTTGTTCATTGCCTTCCATGTCCACCTGGAGAGGAGGCTGGGTGTGGGTGGGGAGGGGCCTCAGCCAGCCTCAGCTCCAGATCCTGTCCCCAGATGGATCCAGAGTGTCTGTACCTTTTGGCTATCAGGGACAGGGGCACAGGTACACTCCCACCTACCTCATTGACCTCTCCATCATCAGGTGACTCATTATAGTCATTCATCTCATCCATATCCTGCATGTCCTCATCATCCTCTGAATCCTCTTCACTGTCTTCATCATCTTCATCATCCTCCTCTTCCTCATCATCATAGTGCTGATGGGGCAGGAGAGAGCCTGTAGGTGCCTCAGGGCTACCTGGACCAGTTTAAGAGCTGTCCCACTTCCAAGGGCCTTCTTCATTCTGACCCTGTCTTCATACGCCCCAGTCTGGCAGGCTGGTAGGTGATCTGTAGGACCTTAGTAAGAGGCCAAATGCCCACTCCCTCCCTTAACCACTACTGTCTGATCTTCACCCAGACTGGGAACCACAACTGCTCTGAGTCAGAGGCAGAACATTCAGAATTAGACCAGAACTCTGCTCTACCCCAAGTCTCACCAAGGCCCCACTTGCTGGATCCACTCACCTCTGAGGCTGGCTTGCCAATAGGTACCAGGTTGTTGTCTTTCTCTGCAATGCTTTGGAGCTGTGGGCAAGAGATAGGGGAGAGCAGGACCAAAGCAGAACAGTCAGAAGCATGGAATTGCCTCACTACGCCTCCAAGAACAACCATAAGTGTTAGAAACTTTCTCCCAGTTCTCAGGACTAGTTGATTACTTACTTTCCTATTATCCACTATTTATAAAATTGATTTAACTACATAAACTCTCTGGGCCTTGGTTTCTTCATATAATTATGGTAAGGATGAAATTAGAGATGTAGTCTAGAACACAGCATCTTTTAAGTCCTCAAAAGTAGTTAATCAAGCCCCACGACCGACCAAAAAAAGAAAAGATGAAAAAAAAATTACTAATAAACTTGGACTTTAGGGAAAAGGTCTTGAGCTGAGTGTCAATACTTTACCTAGCCCAGAAGTCCCTAACAAATTAGGATATCACAAAGATGAGAAACACGGCCTCCGAATCACCCAGGCTGACTCCCAGGGCACAACGTTCTTTCAGAATAGGTCTCCAGAGTACAGCTGAGTCATGGGGCACAGTGTGTGTGTGTGTCTGTGTGTCTGTATGTCTGTGCAGTGCTAAATCTTCACTCACCCAGGCCTGATGTTGCTGTTCCTGCTGCTGCAGCTCAGTTTCTTCCACACAGGGTCGATCCAGATTAAACCACAGTGTCTCAGTCACACGGGGGAAGAGTGAGGGGAACAAAGTGGACATGGCTCCTAGACTGAGGGGAAGGATCAAGTGAATGTGTTTGTTTTTATTTGGTTGTAATTTGACTTAGGGATGGGGTGGAGTGGAAGGTAGCAGGCAAGCAGTCCTTCCATTTGGTATCAGACAGACCTGGATTTGAGTCCTTGCTCCACCATTTACTAGCTGCTTGACTTTGGCCAAGTCACTTAACCTCTCTGGGCCTCAGTTTCCTCATCTGTAAAATGGGGATAATAAACAATTATACCATCCTCAAAGTTATTCTAATAATTAAGTAAAAAAATGAATAAAGCTGTAGGCTGCTCAAGGAGGAAAGAGACTGGGAGCCAAGTGTAGAGATGGAATCCAGAATACAGACTGGCATTATAAAGTTACACACAATTAGAGGTAGCAGGGCTCTCCTGCAATTATGTTTATGCCCTCCAAATCCTAAAGTTTACATATTGCTCCTTTGTGATCACCCATACCACACTCATTCAGTGATGGAAAAAAAGGATATGTTAACCATCTCTTTCATTAACCATGGTCAATTCTGTAGGGGTTGGGGAAGTGAGGTCTGCCCCAAGTACAAGCAGGGTTCAGTAAGACATTTTAGAAGGCATGGCCAAATGGATAAATGGAAGATTGAATGGATGAACTAACATATACGAGAACAAGTAAAATCAGCTTTTGTGCGCGTAAGTTGCTGACCAAGAGGGTCCCAATCTGTGACCTTCAGCTCAACCGACAGGAAACAGAGAGGTTTTAGATCACACAGTGGACCAGGACTTAGAACTGCCGCAGGGGCGGGATCCAGGCCACGGCACTGGAGAAAGAAGCAAAGCAAGGATCTCTGTCTAGTCCAGCCTAATTCATTTGGTCGATCCAGGACCAGCGGCGGCCGCAAACGGCCAAATCTTCCCAGCCTGGGTAACAGGCGCAATAGCGCCTACCCTCACAACCTCGAGGAAATGACAGGCCCGACAGCTTTCATCCTAAAACCCAACCCACTTCCCTAAAGCCACCGCCTATTCTTTGCTCATTATGATAATGACTGTGAGGTTGACCAACGGGATGAAGGCGGGGGCGGGACTCGCACAGGAATTTGTCCTGTATAAGGATGGGCGGGATCTAGATAGAGCCAATTAGGTGAAAGAGATGCTGGGTGACAGAAAGTGACACCAATGAATGACGGGTCTTGTGTGATGGGGTGGGGCTTAGTCTCGAGGAAGCGGCCAATGAGCAGGAGCACGTTAAGGGCAAAGGAGTCTTAACATGGAGCTCTAAAGAGGCGAGTCAAAGAAACTAGTTTTCTCTGGGGAAAGGAAAAAAGAAAGGGGAAGGAGATCCCCCCGCAGCCTTGCTTCTGTACTTACCGCGCCGGGAGGCGGCAGCCGGCGGCGACCCGGAAGCGCTTCACCTGTTCCGAGCGGAAGAACCCACCAGAATCCGGGACCCACCAAACGCATGCGTCCTACGTCTCCTTTTGTTTCCCGCTCCCGCCCACATGACCGGACGTGACGTCAAGTACCTAGCTACTTGGGGAAGGAAATTTGTCGCGACTACCTATTGGCCCCGCCTTGAATCTCAGCCAATCGGCCTCTCCATCCGGGCTTCTCAGCGCTCGATTTAATCCCGCCCTTCCACCGCAATGCGCGCGCTAATGCCTTAAAAAATGGCTGCTTCGTGAGGGGTGTCGGTGGCTCGTGCCTGTAGTCTGAGATACTGAGGAGGCAAAGACCTGAGGATCGAGGTTCCATGTCAGTCCACACAGAAAAGGCCTTTTGAGACTCTTGATCACATCACCAAAAAAGTGGGGCTGTGGCTAAAGTGGTAGAGTGCCAGCGTTGAGCACAAGAAACTCAGGAACAATGCCCAGGCCGTGAGTTCAAGCCCCAGGACCGGCTCTAACAGAAATTAACAATGATAACTTATTTATTGTCGGCCGTGGGGCTTGAACTCTGGGCCTAGGCGCTGTCCCTGAGCTCTTCAGCTCAAGGCGAGCGCTCTACCACTTGAGCCACAGCGCTCTTTCTGTTTTTCTGGTGGTTAATTGGAGATCTGTTTCGCAGACTTAACTGCCCAGGCTGGCTTTGAACCGCGATCCTCAGATCTCAGCCTCCTGAGTATCTAAGATTACAGACATGAGCCACTGGCCTTCGGCTAATGATGATAACTTAAAAAGGCTGCTACCAACCTTTCTTATAAATGTCCTGTCTTGTCCCAGGAATATTTGCTCCAAAATCACCCTGTCCTGTCTGTCGCCTTTCAGACTTTGCTTCTCTTTTATTTTTATTGTTTATGTGGTACTGAGGGATCTAACCTAGGGCCTCATGCATGCTAGACAAGCACTACCACAAAGCCATATTCCTAGCCCCTATTCCCAGTCTTTCTCTTTTGAGCACATTTTTCCTGATTCCCCTCCTCCCCCGTGTGTGTGTGTGTGTGTGTGTGTGTGTGTGTGTGTGTGTGTACATTTTTTTTTTTTTTTTTGCTGGTCTTGGGGCTTGAACTCGGCCTGGGCACTGTCTCTGAGCCACAGTGCCATTTCTGGCTTTTTCTGCTTAAGTCGTACTGAGAAACCCAAGGCCTCATGCATGGTACTCGATATTGAACCTAGTTAACTTCCACATGCTAAGCATGAGCTACTTTCCGAGCCCATACTCATTTTTTTATGTATGCCTTGAACAAAAACAAATTATACACACACATACATATATGTACAGTATATTCCAAGTATATTCTAAGCTCTGCTGGGGATGAATCTATAAACACTGTGCACTGTTCCCAGAGACCCCAAAATTTCATAAGGGAAGCCAAATCCTGCAGACCCTGTGTGGACTCATTGGGTGATTAGGGTTGCCTATCCAGTTCTGACATCAGAGATTATGTACAGGCTTGAGGAACTAGTCGGTCTCAGACACAGTATTCTGATGCTTGGAGAATTCAGTTGCCCTCTTTAGACTTGGAACAAGTCAAGTCAGCTTGTTTACTTCTTCCACTCCTTCTATTGATGTCTGTTCTTGCCTCTGACACAGATTTTCCTTTCAAAATCCCCATGCCTTCTAGTAAAAGAAGTTTTTCAATCAACTACTGCAAAACTCTACCAAGCCCTTTTCAGGGCCAGCAACCACCCACTGTTCTACTTCTGTCCAGACCAGAGATGTTTAAACTGTAGCTAGTCCTCTGCACTCAGTTTCATCTTAACTGGCAGCATAATCTGCCTAACTTTCCTTATATCCTAAATTAATGTGAGGACTGAATGAAGTAACAGCTGTCCAAGAAGTATTATACTGTGTACTTTGATTATGTTGCCAAGCAGCTCTGCTTATTAATTCATTTTTCATTAAATATTATTACTTGTTGGCCATCTCTACCCTTTTCATTCATTCATTCAATAAATATAGAGTGTTTGTATATGTGTATCTGTCTGTCATTATTCAAGTAATGGATAGTGCCTAATGAACCCAAAATGAACAAAATATACCCCAGAAGTCCCTCTCATGCAGCTTCTGTTCTGATAAAATAAATAATAAAGGAAAACATAATTTTACGAATATTACTATGAATATTGAGGAGAAAAACCAAAAGTAGTAATAAAATATTGGTAGGAAAGTGTTTTTAGATGGAGAGTCAAGACATTGGGAAAATAAATTTTCTATTAGCTACATTAGCTGTGTGTGTGGGGTTCATTGTGACATTTCCATACATATAAACAATGTATTCCCATCAACATTACCACTATCACTCTATCCATTTTCCCCTTCAAACAATTTTAGCAGGTTGCATTGTTCTGCTTTCATACATGCAAACAAACTACTCCATATTCATCCTTATTCATTCTCTTTATTAGCTCTCTCTTCTCCCTCTGGTGCCTCTCCATAACACCCTGTTTTACTTCCCTGTCATTCTTTTTTTCTTTTTCTCAGTGTGCATTGTCAAGGAATTTAACTTTTTTTTTCCAGTCTTAGGACTTGAACTCAGGGCCTGGGTACCATCCCTGAGCTTCTTTTTTGTTCAAGGTTACCACTCCACCACTTGAGCCACAGCACAACTTCAGGCTTTTTCTGTTTATGTGGTACTGAGGAATCAACCTAAGGGCTTCATGCATGCTAGGCAAGCACTCTACCACTGAGCCACATTCCCAGCCTTCATTAGCTTTTTTTTTTTTTTTTTCATTAGCTTTTTGTTGTGACCAACACACACACACACACACACACACACACACACACACACACAAAAGGTTAAAATGTGTTTGTGACTTTAACTGAGTATCACTATCTCACAACACTGTGAAATTTATTTAATCAATCTCAATAAAAAAATTATTAAAGAGGGCTGGGAAGGTGGCTCAGTGGTAGAGCGCTTGCCTTGCATGCCTGAGGCCCTGGGTTCGATTCCTCAGCACCACATAAGCAAAAAGAAAAAAGCCAGAAGTGGCTCTGTGGCTTAAGTGGTAGAGCGCTAGCCTTGAGCTGAATAGCTGAGGGACAGCGCCCAGGCCCAGAGTTTAGGCCCCACGACCAGACCCCCCCCAAAAAAAAATATTAAAGAAAAGAATAACCCACTCTTTTGCTTTCCCAACCCCCTATTAATCAACAGCTTTCACTGAGATTTATTTTATTTTATTTCAGTCCTGGGGGTTAATAGGCCTTCAGCACTGTCCTGAACTTTTTTTGCTCAAAGCTAGTCTTCTACCATTTGAGCCACAGCTCTACTTCCAGATTTGTTGATGGTTAATTGGAGATAAGAATCTCATGGGCTTTTCTGCCCCAGCTGGTTTCAAACTGTGATCTTCAGAGGTCAGGTTCCTGAGTAGCTAGGATTACTGCCATGAGCCAGCCACCAGCACTTAGTCTTATTGAAATTCTTTTTTTTTAATTGTGAAAATACCGTACAGAGGAGTTACAATTACGTGGGCAAGATAATGAGTACATTTCTTTTTTTTTTTTGGGTCCAGTCGTGGGGCCTGAACTCTGGGCCTGAGTGCTGTCCCTCAGCTCTTCAGCTCAAGGCTAGCGCTCTACCACTTGAGCCACGGCGCCACTTCCGGCTTTTTTCTTTTTTGCTTATGTGGTGCTGAGGAATCGAACCCAGGGCCTCAGGCATGCAAGGCAAGCGCTCTACCACTGAGCCAACTTCTCAGCCCATGAGTACATTTCTTATCAAGCATTGTTGCCTCCTCCTTTGTTTCCCCTTCCTATCCCTTCCCATCTCGCCCCCCCCACCCAAAGTTGTAAAGTTCGTTTTTCGATATAACGACTAGTACATCTCATTGTTGCAGTGGGTCCACCTGTATCCCTATTTAAACGATTTGTTTTTTCCCTTCCCCTCCACAAATTATACCAACATCAAATCCAGTGAAAGCAGAGATTATATCATGGGGGAGGGACATACAAAGCAACAAAGAAATCATCTTATAAATATGTTAGAAACAATCACATGAAAGAAAAAACATTTGAATACTTATCTTGAGGTTCATTTCACTTAACATCACCTTATCTGACCTTTTCTGCTTGTCTCAGACATATACTAGTTATTGCAAATAAGGGAAACCACGGGGCCTATGTTTCTTTGGGCCTGGCTTACTTCACTTAATATAATTTTTTCCAAGTCTTTCCATTTCCCAACAAATGCAGTAATGTCATTCTTTCTGATGGAGGCATAGAAGTCCATTGTGTATATATACCACATTTTCTTGGTCCATTCATCTATTGAGGGACATCTGGGTTGGTTCCATATCTTTTTTTTTTTTTGGGTCCAGTAGTGGGGCTTGAACTCTGGGCCTGGGCGCTGTCCCTCAGCTCTTCAGCTCAAGGTTAGCGTGCTACGACTTGAGCCATAGCACTACTTCTGGCTTTTTTTTTTTTTCTACTTATGTGGTACTGAGGAATCAAACCCAGGGCCTCATGCATGCAAGGCAAGCACTCTACCACCAAGCCACTTTCCCAGCTCATCACTGAAATTCTTTATGCCATCATCATACATACCATACATGCACTTTAGGGGCAGGTAACTTTTGAGTAAAGTTCTGAAGGAAGAAAGAGGTCTTCTGATATCTGGGAAGAATATTTCAGAGAGAACAAGTATGAAGGGGGTAGAATAATTGGAGCATAGTGTTCTGTGTAGAGAATAGTAAATGAGGATGGAGGGGTGAGCCAATAGATACAATTTTGCAAGTCATCATAAGGGATTTGGCTTTAATTTGTGAAGGAGTGAGAGCAGAGAATCGACTCAGTCTGATTTAGATTACAAAGAGTTATTCTATTCTATACAGAATAAACAAAGGGGGTAGGAATGTGGCTTAGTGGTAGAGAACTTGCTTAGCATGTATGAGGAACTGGGTTCAATTCCTTGGTACCACATAAACAAACATAAAATAGAATAAATAAATAATTTAAAAAAAGAATAAGGAAGAAAACATTATGACAATGGTATGAAGACCAGTTAGAAGCTTACTATCTGGCAATAAAGCCAGGTGCTGGTGACCGATGCCT